CACCTATGAGCAGCTGATATTTGACAAAGGCCCAGAGTCCATTAATTGGGGAAAACACACTGTCTTTAACAAATGTCGCTGGCATAACTGGATGTCCATCTGCAGAAAACTGATCAAGACCCATACCTCACAAGATGCACAAAAATTAACTGAAAATGGGTCAGAGACCTAAATGTAAAATCTTAAACAGTAAAGATCATGGAAGAAAAAATAGGGACAACACTAGGAGCCTTAATACATGGCATAAACAGAATACAAACCATAAGTAACAATGCACAAACACCAGAAGAGAAGCTAGATAACTGGGAGCTCCTAAAAATCAAACACTTGTGCTCATCAAAAGACTTCACTAAAAGAGTAAAAAGACAACTTACAGACTGAGAAAAAATTTTGGGTTATGACAAATCCGATCAGCGTCTAATCTCTGAAATCTATGAGATACTGCAAAACCTCAACAACAAAAAAGACAAATAAACCAATTAAAAACTGGGCAAAGGATATGAACAGTCACTTCGCCAAAGAAGATATTCAGGCAGCTAACAGACACATGAAGAAATGCTCATGATCATTAGCCATTAGAGAAATGCAGATCAAAACTACAATGAGATATCATCTCACCCCACCAAGGCTAGCATTAAGCCAAAAAACACAAAATAATAAATGCTGGATAGGTTGTGGAGAGACTGGAATGCTTATACACTGTTGGTGGGAATGTAAAATGGTACAACCACTTTGGAAATAAATTTGGCACTTCCTTAAAAAACTAGCAACAGAAATACCATATGATCCAGCAATCCCACTGCTTGGAATATATCCTAAAGAAATAAGAGCCATCATATGAACAGATATAGGCACACCCATGTTCATTGCAGCACTGTTCACAATAGCAAAAACATGGAAACAACCTAGGTGCCCATCACCAGATAAATGGATAACAAATTATGGTATATTCACACAATGGAATACTACACAATGATAAAGAACAACGATGAATCTGTGAAACAATGTGGAGGAATCTAGAAAGCATCATGCTAAGTGAATTTAGTCAGTCGCAAAAGGACAAATATTGTATAAAACCACTATTATAAGAACTCAGGAAAAGGTGTAAACACAGAAGAAAACATTCTTTGATGGCTAGGAGGGTGGGGTGGGAGGGGGAGGGGTTTTCACTAGATAGTAGACAAGAATTATCTTAGGTGAAGGGAAGGACAACACACACTACAGGGGAAGTCAGCACAACTGGACTAAACCAAAAGCTGAGAAGTTTCCTGAATACAACCAAACACTTTGAGGGACAGAGTAGCAAGGGCGGGGGTCTAGGGACCATGGTTTCAGGGGACATCTAGGTCAGCTAGTATAACAAAGTTTATTTAGAAAATGTTATGCATCTTATTTGGTGAGTGGCATCTGGGGTCTTAAAAGCTAACGAGCGGCCATCTGAGATGCATCAATTTGTCACGACCCACCTGGAGCAAAGGAAAGTGAAGAACACCAAAGACACAAGGAAAATATTAGCCCAAGAGACAGAAAGGGCCACATAAACCAGAGAGTCCGTCAGCCTGAGACCAGAAGAACTAGATGGTGCCCGCCTACCACCAATGTCCACCCTGACAGGGAACACAACCGAGAGTCCCTGATGGAGTAGGAGAAAAGTGGGGTGCAGAACTCAATTTCTAGTAAAGAGACCAGACTTAATGGTCTGACTAAGATTGGACAGACCCCAGAAGACGTGGCCCCTGGACTGTCTGTTAGCCCAAAATTAAAACCATTCCCAATGCCAACTCTTCAGACAAAGATTAGACTGGAATATAAGATATAAAATGATACTCATGAAGTACGTGCTTGTTAGCTCAAGTAGATACATGAGACTAAATGGGCAGCTCCTGTCCGGAGGCGAGATGAGAAGGCAGAGAGGGTCAGGAGCTGGTTGAATGGACGTGGGAAATCAGGGGTGGAAAGGAGGAGTGTGCTGTCACAGTATATAGAGAGCAACTAGGGTCACATAACAATGTGTGTATAAATTTTTGATGTTGTCATCTTTTACTTATTGACATCTGTTTCCCTATTTTCAGTGTTTTAGCTTTGATTTACTTTTGTGACTTCCCTATCTTGGTTGATATCTGATTGCTCTGTCCTGTGTTCTATTCTTGGGGTGTTTTGTTATCTGATGTTACTGATTTTCTAACCTGAGGACTCCCGTTTAGTATTTCTTGTAATTTTGGTTTGGTTTTTGCAAATTGCCTAAACTGTTTATCTGGAAATGCCCTAATTTCACCATCATATTTGAGAGAGAGTTTTGCTGGATATATAATTCTTGGCTGGCAGTTTTTTTCCTTCAAGCCTTTACATATGTCATCCCATTGCCTTCTTGCCTGCATGGTTTCTGCTGAGTAGTCCGAGCTTATTCTAATTGACTCTCCTTTGTAGATGACATTTTGTTTATCCCTAGCTGCTTTTAAAATTCTCTCTTTATCTTTGGTTTTGGCAAGTTTGATTATAATGTGTCTTGGTGACTTTCTTTTGGGGTCTGCCTTATGTGGGATTTGATGAGCGTCTTGGATAGATAACCTGTCATCTTTCACGGTATCAAGGAAGTTTTCTGTCAATAAATCTTCAACAATTTTCTCTGTATTTTCTGTTGTCCCCCCCCCACCCTGTTCTGGTATTCCAATCACTCGTAGGTTATTCCTGTTGATAGAGTCCCACATATTCTTAGGGTTTCTTCATTTTTTAAAAATCCTTTTATCTGAGTGTTCCTCAAATAAGTTGGTGTCAAGTGCTTTTATCTTCAGTCTCACTAATTCTGACTTCCATTGCCTCAATTCTGCTCCTATGACTTTCTATTGCATTGTCTAATTCTGAAATTTTATTGTTAATCTTCTGGATTTCTGATTGCTGTCTCTCTGTGGATTCTTGCAGCCTGTTAATTTGTCATTACATTCGTCTCTAATCTTTTTAATTTCCTCTATTGCATGTTCTGCGTTTTGCTTAACTTTGTTCCTAATTTCTTGAAGAGTTTTGTGTATTAATCTTTTGTATTCTGCCTCCGGGGCAATGTGTGTATAAATTTTTGTATGAGAAACTAACTTGAACTGTAAACTTTCACTTAAACCACAATAAAAAAGAAAGAAAAAGATGTGTGTTTGTTTTAACTGTGGTTAGGGCCTTACCTTTGTGCTGCTGGTAATAATTTTGCAGTGAGTGAGGGCTGAGTATATGTTGCAGAAAAAGTTAGAATCTTCTAAAAAGATGTATCAGTGTTTAAATTTATTGTTTAAACAGTATTTACCCTTTATTGAATACTTACTGTGTTTTGGACATTGTGTTTGGTATGTTGCATATGCTATTTCATTAATGTTAACCCTAGTTTTACAAACAAGCTGAGATCCAGGGAGAGAAAGTAATTTAATTAGAGCTTTCCTGATTTTAAGAATCTGTGCTTTTATGTCTGACAACATGTCTGGCAAGTCATGTAAATAAGTTTTATTGTGTAGACTAGGCAAAATGTTAAGCCATCTTTAAACCGTTTTCAACTATTATACTCTCAGTCTTTGTTATAATTTTGTATTATCTTATTCAGTGGGGTTTAGGTAATTAGAAAATATTAAGTTGTTGTATTTCAAAAATAGAACAGTGCCTCAGGGACTTTGGCATTTTGAATGTGCGCCCTCGTGGCACTGTGTTAAAAGCTTGGCTACTAACCAAAAGGTCAGCAGTTCGAATCCCACCAGCCACTCCTTGGAAACCCTATGGGGCAGTTCTACTCTGTCCTGTATAGTGTCGCTATGAGTTGGAATCGATTCGATGGCAGTGGGTTTGGTTTTTGATTTTGTGTATAGTACTTGATTTCATACTTTAAAATGGAAGAACTTGCAAGAGTTTAAGGTGTCAGTTACTACTAATGTTATGTTTAGCCGGGACTTCCTTCCAGCTTTTCTTTTTAATAACTAATGACTAAATAATAAGGTTTTACGTATGAATTTTCAAAATACAATAGCTTGTTTGTCACTTAAAATTTGCCAAAGATTTCTTGGGACACCAAAAATGCAAAACATAAAAAAATTTTGATAAATTGGGCTTCAATCAAAATAAAAAACTTCTCCTCTTCAAAAAACATATTAAGAAAATGAAAACAGAAGCCAAAGACTGGGAGAAAATATTTTCTAAACACTTACCTGATAAAGTATTTGATTCCAAAACACTAAAAAGCCAACCCAACTTTAAAAAAAATAACAGAGCAAAAGATTTGAATACCAAACATATGGATGACAAATAACCACATGAAAAGATGCTCAACATCATTTGTCATTAGAAAAATGCAAATTAGGAACACAATAAAATACCACCACGCATCCACTAGAATGCCAGAAATTTAAAGACTGTGACCAGGATGTTGAGCAACTGGAAATCTCATGCATTGTTAATGGGAATGCAGAAAGATACAGTCACTTTGGCAAACATTTCAACACACACTTAACATACAACCTAGCAATCCCACTTCTAGGTATTTATCCAGGAGAAATGAAAACATGTATATTCACAAAGATTTGTACTCAAAATATTATTCAGCCTTAAAGAGAAAGGATGTTCTGATACATGCTACAACATGGATGAACCTTGAAAACATTATGCTGAGTGAAATAAGTCAGACACAAAAGGACAAATATTGTATGATCCTGTTATATTAAATATTTAGAATAGGTAAATGCATAGATCATTGGATTTTTGTTTTTTTGTGAGGAGGTTGTTTGATGCCTTACTTGGTAGAGTATTCCTTATTAAGTATTAGAGAAAATAAAGTTTAGAGTATGGATTGGAGATTTGAGGCTCGAAGCTCCCTGATCCACTTCCTGTATGTGGTAGATTGGTTAATGGCCCCACAAGATGTCCACATCCTAATCCACAGAATCTGCTAATGTTACTTTATATGGAAAAAAGGACTTTGCAGATATGGTTAAATTAAGGATTTTGAGATAGGGAGATTATCCTGGATTATCTGGTGAGCCCTAAATATAATCACAAATTTCCTTATGAGAGAGAAAGTGAAAAGACAATTTGACTACAGTAGAGGAGAAGGCAATATGACCAGGAAGCAGAGGTTGTTCGTGGTGTGGCTGGGATCCAAGGACTGCATTGATCTCTGGAAGTGGAGGAGGCAAGGTTTTCTTCTGAAACCGCCAGAAGGAACCAACCCTGTTAGCACCTTGATTTTAGCTCCTTAAGACTCCTTTTGGACTTCTGGCCTCCAGAAATGTAAGAAAATAAATTTGTGTTGTGCTTATCTGTTACAGCAGCATCAGTGAAATAATACACTGTGGTGCACGTTAACTAAAAATATGAAGGCAGGGACCTAGGACTGTGGAATTCAACTCCGTATCCCCAGCACCTAGAACAGTGCTTTATGTAATGAGGTAGGTACTCAGTATATTTGTTGATGAAAGGGGTGGTGGAGAAAGGGGAGAAGAGGAGGTTAAGAAGGAAGGAAATAAATCAGGTGGCTCATAATTAAAATGACTGTTACGAGCTGGTGTAGGCTTCTAGTTAATGGATGACGCAAAGAAAAACAGTAAAGTTAAAAAGTTGAAGCCTACCCATAAGCAAATAGGCTCTCTAATGTTATTCAAGACATTTCTTTTAAAAAGTTGAACAGTAAAAGGTAGAAAATAATTGAGGAACCAAATAAGCCAAACAATTTGAAATTTTGAAAGATCCCTATCATTCTTTGAAGGGGGAAAACACAAATACATGCACATGAATAAATCATATTTTAATTAAAATTCAAGTTCAGTCCTCCAATTCTTAGTGTGTATGAGGTGCCAAGAAGGTAGTAAATTGCACCTTTGCCAGGTAAGTATAAGAAATAAACAGACCTGTATTATTGATTTATTTTATGACTAATTTTAATTTTATTTTTTTAAACAAGTTCTATGTTTACATAATAATGAGATCAAAATCCACGAAATGATATACAGTGAAAAGTTGCCCTTGACCTCTATCCACCAGTAACTTGGTTTTCATCTTCACAGGCACAGTGCTACTTTTTTTTTTTTTTTTTTTTAATATCCTTCTAGATATATAAATAACCAAATTCCTAAATAATCTTTTTTTCTTATCTTTTTATGCAGTTCACTGCATACAACGTACACAGTTCTGTATGTTGTTTTTGTCACTTAACAATATGTTTGAGCTCTGGTATACCACTATATAAAGAGATTCCTTATTTTTTTATGGTTATGTATTATTCCATTTATCATAACTTGTTTTGCAAGGTCACATCAATTGGTTATTTCCAAACTTTTACAGTTTTAAGCAATGCTGAAATGAATAACTGAATACCAAATTTTTATGAATGTCTACCTTTAGGATCTTTCACATTCCAATCACCAGTAATTATCAATGCATCCTGATTGCATGTTTGATCAATTTCAGACTGCAGAAGTTGGTAAAAATCTTCAATTTCTTCATCGTTGACCTTAAGTGGTTGGTGCGCAAATTTGAATAAGAGTCATGTTAACTGGTCTTCCTTGTAAGCGTATGGATATTATCCTGTCTGTCACTGACAGCGTTGTATTTCAGGATAGATCTTGAAATGTTCTTTTTGACGATAAATGCAATGCGTTCTTCTTCAAGTTGTCATTCCCGGTACAATAGGCCATATGATTGTCAGATTCAAAATGGCCAATACCAGTCCGTTTCAGCTCACTAATGCCTAGGATACCTATCTTTATGCGTTCCATTGCATTGTTGACGATTTCCAATTTTCCTAGATTCATACTTTGTACATTCCACATTCCGATTATTAGTGGATGTTTGCAGCTATTTCTTCTTACTTCGAGTCATGCCACATCAGCAAATGAAGGTCCTGAAAGCTTAACTCCATCCACATTATTAAGGTCGACCCTACTTTGAGGTCAGCTCTTCCCCAGTTGTATTTTGAGTGCCTTCCAACCTGAGGGGCTTATCTTCCGGCACTATATCAGACAATGTTCTGCTGCTATTCATAAAGTTTTCACTGGCTCATTCTTCTCAGAAGTAGAACACTGGGTCCTTCTTCCTTGTCTGTCTTAGTCTGGATGACTAAACCTATCCACCCTGGGTGACCCTGCTAGTATTTGAATAGCAGTGGCATAGCTTCCAGTGTCACAGCAGCACGCAAGCCCCCACAGTATGGCAAAATGACAGACGTGCTAGAAAGGACGCTGGAGATCGCATGATAGAATTTTGCAAGACCAAAGACTTCCTCATCGCAGACACCTTTTTTCAACAACGTAAATGGCAACTATACAGCTGGACCTCAGATGGAATACACAGCAATCAGATCGACTACATCTGTGGAAAAAGACAATGGAAAAGCTCAATGTCATCAGTCAGAATAAGGCCAGGGGTCGACTTTGGAACAGACCATCAGTTGCTCATATGCAAGTTCAGGTTGAAAGTGAAGAAAATTAGAACAAGTCCACAAGAGCCAAAGTACAACCTTGAGTGTCTCCCACCTGAATTTTAGAGACCATCTCAAAAATAGTTTTGACACGTCAAATACTAATGACAGAAGACCAGACGAGTTGTGGAATGACATCAAGGACATCATACATAAAGAAAGCAAGAGGTCATTGAAAAGACAGGAAGGAAAGAAAAGACCAAAATGGATTTCAGAAGAGACTGAAACTTGCTCTTGAACATCGAGTAGCTAAAGCAAAAGGAAGAAATGATGAAGTAGAAGAACTGAATGGAAGATTTCAAAGGGCAGCTCAAGAAGACAAGAGTGAAATATTATAATGACATGTGCAAAGACCTGGAGATAGAAAACCAAAAAGGAAGAACATGCTTGGCATTCTCAAGCTGAAAGAACTGGAGAAAAATTTCAAGACTTGAGTTGTAATACTGAAGGATTCTATGGGGAAAATATTAAACAACACAGGAAGCATCAAAAGCAGATGGAAGGAACATACTGAGTCACTGTACCAAAAAGAATTGGTCGACGATCAACCATTTCAGGAGGTAGCATATGATCAGGAACCAATGGTACTGAAGGAAGAAGTCCAAGCTGCACTGAAGGCATTGGTGAAAAACAAGGCTCCAGGAATTGATGGAATATCAATGGAGATGTTTCAACAGACGGATGCAGCGCTGGCAGTGCTCACTTGTCTATGCCAAGAAATTTGGAAGACAGCTAGCTGGCCAACCCGCTGGAAGAGATTCATATTTATGCCTATTCCCCAGAAAGTTGATCTAACCGTACGTGAAAGTTAGCGAACAATATCATTAATATCACACACAAGTAAAATTTTGCTGAAGATTGTTCAAAAGCGACTGCAACAGTGTATCAACAGGGAACTGCCAGAAATTCAAAGTGGATTTAGAAGAGAACCTGGAACCAGGGATATCATTGCTGTTGTCTGATGGATCCTGGCTTAAAACAGAATACCAGAAAGATGTTTACCTGTGTTTTATTGACTATGCAAAGGCATTCGACTCTGTAGATCATAACAAATTATGGGTAACGTTGCAAAGAATGGGAATTCCAGAACACGTAATTATGCTCATAAGGAACCTGTACATAGGTCAAGAGGCAGCTGTTTAAACAAAACAAGGGGATGCTACATGGTTTAAAGTCAGGAAAGGTGTGCGTCAGGGTTGTATCCTTTCACCATACCTATTCAGTCTGTATGCTGAGCAAATAATCTGAGAAGCTGGACTATATGAAGAACAGGGCATCAGGATTGGAGGAAGACTCATTAACAACCTGCGTTATGCAGATGACACAACTTTGCTTGCTGAAAGTGAAGAGGACTTGAAGCACTTACTGATGAAGATCAAAGACCACAGCCTTTAATATGGATTATACTGTAAGATAAAGAAAACAAAAATCCTCACGACTGGACCAGTAAGCAGCATCATGATAAATGGAGAAAAGATTGAAGTTGTCAAGGATTTCATCTTACTTGGATCCATAGTCAACACCCATGGAAGCAGCAGTCAAGAAATCAAAAGACATATTGCATTGGGCATATCCGCTGCAAAAGACCTCTTTAAAGTGTTGAAAAGCAAAGATGTCACCTTGAGGACTAAGATGCGCCTGACCCAAGCCATGGTATTTTCAGTTGCCTCATATGCACACAAATGCTGGACAGTGAGTAAGGAAGACTGAAGAAGAATTGACGCTTTCAAATTGTGGTATTGGAGAAGAATATTGAATATACCATGGACTGCCAAAAGAACTAACCGGTCTGTCTTGGAAGAAGTACAGCCAGAATGCTCCTTAGAAGCAAGTATGGCGAGACTACATCTCACATTCTTTGGACCTGTTATGAGGAGGGATCAGTCCCTGGAGAAGGGCATCATGTTTGGTAAAGTAGAGGGTCTATGAAAAAGAGAAAGACCCTCAAGGAGATGGACTGACAACAGTGCTACATCAGTGGGCTCAAGCATAACGATTGTGAGGATGGCACAGGACCGGGCAGTGTTTTGTTCTGTTGTACATAGGGTTGCTATGAGTCGGAACCTACTCGACAGCACCTAACAACAACATCTTTAGGATAAAGTCCCAGAAACAGATATCTGGATCAAAGATATATGCATTTGCAATTTTTCTAAAATGCCATCCTTTGAGATTGAACTGATTTATACTTCCACCAACAATGTATCAGAGTGCCTGTTTCTCTACACCAGGTATCAGCAAACTTTTTCTGTAAAGGACCAGATAATAAGTATTTTAACTTTGTGGGCTACATATATTCTCTGTTGTATATTCTCCTTGGTTTGGTTTGGTTTTCTTTACAACCCTCCCAAAACATCAGAACCATTCTTTTCACAGACTAACAGGACAAAGTGTCCATAATTTACTGACCCTTGCCAACATAGTGTTATCAGTATGATAGTTGAAACAGTGGTGTCCCAATATAGTTTTATTTGTATTCTCTTATCAATGAAGTTGAGCATATTTAAAGCCATTCGTATTTATTTTTCTCTGACTATTCATATTTATTGCCTGTTTTTTTATACTTGTTGATCTTATTTATAGTGACTTTTTATATAGGAAAATTATCTCTCATCTGTGAAATATGTTGCAGATATTTTCCTCAGTTTTATCTTTATCTTTTTTCTTTGCTTTTTGAAGTTTTTGCCATGTAGTTATCTTTCTGAGTAGTAAAATATATCAAACTTTTATTTTATGACTTGAGTTTTATGTAATACTCTAGATCTTCCCCACTCTAAGATTATAAAAAAGCAATCTCTCATGGGTTTTTTTCCTGGTGCTTTTGGATTTCATTTTACCATTTGAATCTTTGATTCATTTAGAATTTATGTTGGTGTGAAGAGAATGGATCCAACTTTATTTTTTTCTACATGGCTCACCAGTTGTCCTAACAATCATTTATTGAATTACTTTTCATCCCTTCCCCTACAGATT